TATAATAAACTATACTAATTATATATTTATTATAATTCAAATTCAGTAAATAATATGCACTTTCATTGAAAATGTTCTCTCTTCATCAAGTCTGAATAATATTTTATTTAATTCAGTTCATGTGAAACATTTAATTTGTTACTGAGTGCTATTCAGTGGCAATTAAACCGTTTGCAGCCCTATATAAGCCCTCATATCTTTCTATATATGTATATATACCCACGCACATACGTATGTCATATATGTATGCATGTATGCATGTGCGTATACATATGTACAATTTCCTATCTCTAAAACAATACACATTTCCAATTACTCGACAGTTGTGCGCTGTCCTAGCTCCAACTCTAGGATAACGAGTCTCGTTCCACACGTTGCTCGCGTTGTTGTTGCTGTTGTTGATGTTGTTGTCTTTTGCTGTTGTTTGGCGGTGAGGCTCAATTGCAAATTGTATTTAAAATTTATATAAAATGCGCGCCGCATTTGTTGCTTTTGTCACAATGTGTCTGTGCCAAGTCCTGGCCAGTCAGCCAGCCAGCCAGCCAGCCGGCCCCCATCTGCCTGCCACTCCCCCCTTTTTTATTTGATGTGCCAGCCCCGCCCAGCAACAGCAACAAAAAACAACAAACAGCCAACATACGCGGTTATTTTTGCCATACAATCAACGCGGCCAACGTGAAAAATTCGCGCGATTTATGCATGCATGGAGTGCCAAAGGGAGAGTGTGAGAGCATGAGTATTCATGGGTGTGTGTGTCTGAGTGTGTGTGTGTCTGAGTGTGTGTGTGTCTGTCGCTGGCTCTTCCTTTGCCGCCACCCACACACACACACACTCAACTCCAGGCCCTCATTCCAATTGGACACTCATGTTGTATGCGCCCTGCCCTGGCGAGTCACCAAAAACTCGACGCTTGTTTATTTTATTGGCACGTAAATTTAATGTCGAGTTCTATATATCCGTTGCCATATATATATTTATATATTTACATATATACCTATATATATATATGTATCTGTACAGGTTTACCATTTCTGCATTTATATATATGATTGCGTTTTGCGTCCCTCTGTGTGCGTTTGTATTTATAAATAAATTTTTCCGAACACAGCAAATGGACACACCCATGACAATATTAACGGGCTGCTCAGCTATGCTGGACATTCAAATTTGTAGTTGGTTGGGTGTTATTCCTATAGAGAGATATCGCCAAATAGAGTCTCTTGCAAATGCTCAGATAAGAGGTGAGCCCTGTCGAATTGCCGCACTGTCCGAACTGAATTTGATGGCCACTTTATCTGACATATGAAAAGAGTAAAAACAGAAAACATTATTTCACTCAGTTAGGTGTATATGGAAAGAGCTAGATGGAATGATGGAATGGGGAATGGAAATATAATTCAGCTGTCTCTAATAGTGCAAGTAGTATGAAATGGAGAGAGAACTTCTGGTACCAGGCTCGCATGACTGCGAGATTTGTATTCACATCTATATATTTCTGAGGTCAATCCATGTTTGATTTGTTCAATTAAATTTTATTATTTTGATTATAAAAATTATAAATAAG